GACCCGACGCTCTGACAAATTAGAAATTTGCTCAGTGTGAGGCAATCAATCGACACCAGCACTCTTGCATGGGCTATGGTCAGACGTGAATATAAGATGGACTAACTGTTAGCTGTAAAACGGCAAAAAATTTTGACTTTACGTGTTAAAATTGAGAAATTTTAACCCTTAGTCTTAAGAAAAGTCAACCGTAAAAATTTTTTCCTAGTAGAATGTGTCATTTTATAAAGTGTCAAATTACTGATAGGCGTAAAATGGCCAAAGCGTTAGTCTTAAAAGATCTTAAAAGCCATCACCCCATTCAGACTCTCATAAAACATAACCTAACATTCCCTGGACGATGTACGAAACATTATGCCAACATTTCTTCACCACCAATCTTTAAATATATTCTATTAACAGCTTCAAGACTTAGCCGTGAGTCCACAAATCCAAAATCCAACTCTAAACACCGCCGAATGCGTTTCAAAAGGTCACACAACGGACGTATCCTCTGTAACAGGACGTGAATTTTACATCAGAATGATGCTGTGGAGCTCATTTGGTTTTTCCTTTTCCTTTGGGCCATTGTTGGCCCTTATTACACTAATATGTGGTGACTGTGCCAAAAACCACGTAAAAACACCAGAAAATGAGAAGAAACGAAACCTAAAAAATGCTGTTAAGTATACAATCTTCTTTTTAGTGTTTGTACAGCTGGGACTTTTTATTTATGTCCTTGTGCTTTCGATTATATTACAAGGTCCATGGGATATTATTCTTATCCTCGGGATGATAATTTTTGAAGCTTTGATAGTACCGTTCATAGCAGTAAGGAGTTTTGATTTCTTGGTTGAAAAATCAATAGGCGAAAAATCGTTTATATTCATGTGGGGAAATCTTTCAGCGTTTCAATGTTGCTGGGTGGTTGTTGGAATAATGATCAACACAGTATGGGGTTTCACTGTCGTACTCGTCATTTCTGTCATTCTTTCTTCCATTGTGTTTGCAATTTATAACTTTCTTCAGGCAAGGGCACGTTCTGGGGCTGATAATGTCAAATTTATGTTCATCTGCGCTATTTCTTTGTTTTCCGTTCTGTCGCTTGTAGCTGTAGTAATTTTATCAGGGCAGGCCTTTTTTGGCAGAGACTCGGCAAATGAATTACTGAAAACAGCTCTAGTGTACGTCATCACTGCTTTCGTTTCCTGGATTGTCAGTAAAGTTAAAACGGTGGATACAGAGCAAGGAAAAGAAAAGACGGAGAAAAGTTGTAAGAGACAAGAAGCTGAGGGTCAAAAGTTCGATATTCTTCTAGAAGAATTACCAGAGTGAGTTGGGATCCCTCTATAGCTAGCTTGTTTGATATCATGATTCAACGCTATCAATTCTCAGGAGGGAACAAAATGAAATTTCTACTAAGTATGGCGATACCAATCTTTCATCCTAAAAGAAAGAAAAAAATATAAACTGGAATACAATGTTTGTAGTAACACTTACTTTGCGGTGAAAAGTACTGTCTTGTGGAATAGTCTCTGGGTCGATCTTGAAGGCGAATAAAATCGCATTCGCTTATCCATCGAGAGCTGAAAGTAAATTTAGATCCCAGCCTCGTTTCGAAAAGCCCTGTTTTTTTTTAAACGAATGCCACAGTCAACTGTACGAACAACCTCACGTTGATCAGGAGGTCTTTCTCTATTAGAATCAAATGTCAGACCTTTTCTGTGGCGATGGTTGAGCGAAACATTTTTTCAGTACTTGGTCCTTGACTATTATAACAGACTGAGGACAGAAGTTTAGTCTGTTCGTGATTGTTTTGCGGTTCAAAGTATTTGCTGTAAGTCGGGTAGTTTTGGAAAATATGGAATGGCGGAATTCGGAACCGGAACCGGAATACTCGAAATACC